GCATTAGTTGCTTTCCTGCATGCCTCATTAATGTGGTATGTCAGTGTTAGATTTTTATCTAAAATAACACCAAGATCACGGACTTTCTCCGTTAGTTCAATGAGGGTACTGTCAAAAGAGAGCTTCGATCAATCAAATCAATCAAATTTTTTAATGTCTTAACGTGGGGCATGGTTACCCAGATTGCCCGAGCCAGAGGCTCATGTATGAAATGCAAGACAACATCCCACCCCAGGGGAGGACATCCATCACACAGTAATCTCGTGCGTGGGAAATTAACGTCTCCTACCCCTAACCCTGCAGGAGACGGGACCTCCATTTATTTGTCTCTATCCGAGAAGACTAGAATATCTAAACCATTTCTTGATGTTATAGAAAGGTAGCATATTCTTCTCAATTATTTTAAGACCTTGAGTGTTGGTTCGGCCGGGGCTCGAACCCTTAACGTCAGAGTGCACGGCAATACTTACAGCTATAGCTCTGAAGATTTTGTTTTAAATCAAAAGATATGTCTTAGCTTGCGATCGACATCACGAATTACTACATCATGCGACAAAAGATTATTCTTACAATACAACTAATTGTTGAGTTGCTTTTAGTGCTTTTTTGGTATTGTTGTTGTTGTTGTTGTTTTTTTAATTTGTATTTTAAGGTGTCATATTCTATGAAACGCCTTCATCTCTTACTCCTGTGATTTATACCACGCTCTGTTTCTACTTTTCCCCCTCGTTTACTGTTCAGTTTGCCAGCTTTAATTGTGGGTCCTAAATGAAAGATGATTTCCCCTGGATGTGGCTGACAAACACCATCTTTAAATCTCTCTGGGCCTTATTTGAAGACGCTGATACCCTGGGAAAAAGTTAACTGTTTCCGTTGTTATCCTTCAAGACTGGATTCCCTTCTGGTTACATTTTGAAACCGAGACAAAATGATAGCGTGTCGGAGTGTTTATCGATTTATTAACTTTTTACACCAATTGATACAGAGAGTCTGGGAGCTAGGTTTGTCTCTCTGGTCGTCAGGCAAGACTGATTATCATTTCCGGTTTCGCTCTGAAACTGAAATCACAATGGCGGCTGGCCAGAATGTTCCAGAACTTGGCGGCTATGATTTCGAGTTCACAAGTAAAGTTCCTGAAGAGTTGGAATGTCCTGTGTGTCAGTTAACAATGAAGGATCCCATAGAGATCGAAGGCTGTGGTCACAGATTTTGTAGCCTCTACAACGAGGGTTTGGTGAGGTATGTTGCTCTCGATCGAGTAAAATAATTTCCAGGAGACTAATGTTTTTTCTTTTTTTTTGAGGTGATGGTCATCCGCTTGGTAGCGTTACCAACTTATTTTAAGTCGAACTTGACTGAGTTGATAAAAAATTATCAAATAAAGTTGTATTTTGCTCCGAGCTTTGTATACGGCCTGATTGATTCATATGAAGCCGAATATAACGGAATTAGTTCGGCAAAGGTAAATCGAGGTGATTTATCGACTAATGAGAAGAAGTATACGAAAAAGGAGCGGTTTATTAAAGCATTTAACGATGAAAAATTGCGAAGAAACATTGTGTAAAAGCGTATTAAAAATTTGTTTAACGTCATTAGCAAGTTAAAGAGTGAAAGATAACAAATGTTTAATTACTAAAAGGACAATAGGTAATGGAATGTTGAAATGCGGCTTGATGAAAGGCATCTCGTAGACAAGACAGTCAAATTTTCCTTGGCACTTTTTCAGAAAGAGGCATTGACTTTCTTTGAGGAGGCTTGTATCCATACGGGCTGTCGAAAAGTGTTTACCGATCGCAGAGCTTTTGTGTTTAGCAATACGTTGATGGAGGTGTCGAGCTGTAAAGCCGACATAATCTTAAGTGCAGTTGATGATTCTTCCAAGTTCTTGGGTTTAAATGACAAGCGACCAAAATCCCGTGGTCATCCACCAAAGCACTTTCAACCGCTTCTTAAAAAAGAAGATGTCAACATGATCCTACGTGAAATACTACCTCAGAACATAACTGATTCACTGTCGCCCAAGGGTTCCAGACTTGCTCATCTGTTTATTTAGTATTTAAACATTTGTTATCTTTCACTCTTTGGCTTGATAATGACGTTAGCCAAACGTCGAAACGTCGTCAACAAATTTTTAATGTGCTTTTACACAATGTTTCTTCGCAATTTTTCATCGTTAAATGCTTTAATAAACCGCTCCTTTTTCGTATACTTCTTCTCATTAGTCGATAAATCACCTCGATTTACCTTTGCCGAACTAATTCCGTTATATTCGGCTTCATATGTTTTATCGCAATTTTTTATCATTAAATGGTAAGAAGGGCTGTAGAACTGTTCTTCGACCATGTTCAATTTGAGTCGTCTCAAAATAATTTCGCTTAAATAGTATTCAGAGTTTGTTTGCGATGTTTGATTTATTTCAGCCCTCATAATATAGCGTTACGGGTGTTAGGTTGTGCAGCAGGAAAGATTCTCAAACGGTAATGATATTAGCCTACTCCATAATGAAAATAAGTAACATACGCAGTGAATGATGATTCATCTTTTGACTGTGCGACTTTCTTTTTCTCAGTGGCCATTCTCCGAAATGTCCAGTTGACAGACAGCCTTTATCGCGTGACAAGGTAGTGATAAGGGATGCGTTGATGGTTCCAGCTCACGTAAACTTATTATCACGCTTTCTACTATGAAAGTCTGAGAGTCCATTACTTGCTTCCGCAGAAACAACTTTTTTTAAATACGAGGATTACACGAAAGCAGTGAAGCCAAATATGTACTCCATGAGGTATGATCTCCAAACCATGAAAGCGCGAATCAATGATACCTCTATGTTGTTGTGGACAGATCTTTTCAGATATTGCCTGTCAACGCACAATTCTGAATCTTACGGTGCAGTGTTCTAATGCTGAATGTCCATGGACAGAAGAATTGCGAGCTGTGGAGGTGTTTATAAAGATAGTACAGTATTTGCATGAAAACAGCTTGTGTTCCATGCATCTTTAACCCATCACTCGAAATTTGTTTGTGCATTTTCACTCGTTTATTTTGGAATAAATTTGTCCCCTCTCTCCCCTCCCACTCCTTTCATTTCCCACATTTTGAAGATGTATTGGACAATCAAATGAGAAAAGTTAATCTTATTCTTCTGCTTTGCTTTTTTATGGTTTCTTTTGACTTCGACGGTATCTTACTGATCACGTTATCATGCTGGAAATTTTCACCGAGTTTTTCTGGAATTTTGATTTCTTTTCTCCATTTTCATTCAGAACCATCAATCAGGATGCCTGTTAAAAGTGGTGGAGTGTCCAAATGCAGGATGTCAAGAGAGGTTCGCCAAGCACGATAAGAATAATAACAGTGAATCTGAGTGTTCTTGGAGGAAAGTCAATTCTAAATACTGTGGAGAATCATACATCGTGAGAATCAAGCAGGTTTGCTGGCATAAATCGAATGTAAGGAAGGACAGTATTCCAAAATATTGGTTTGATGAAGTCTCGGTACAACTAGTCACCATTTACCTCCTTTTTTTCCTATAGAGAATTTATGTGAAACAAACATCTTTTAAAGGCTAGTGTGTTTCAATAATAAACTTCGTTTCCTTGTTAATTAAGACTGTTAAATTCTTTTACCTCTTCCCTTCGTTTATTCAACAGACTGTTTGTTACAGTAGCACTGTAATGCAATTGGAAGAATTTTAAATGTACTCGGGCTCTAAAACTTCTGTTCGCTTTTCTTCAGCGACATCATGGTGTCTGTCAAAAGTTCCCTGTTCAATGCACAAACAGTTGTGCTCTGGGAGAAATTCCACGAGAAAAGGTAGCAATGATGGTTCTAAAGTCTTGAGCCATTCTAAGTGACCTTCGTGGTAAACTCTAACGAGAGTTCAGTTGAACATTCATGCACACAGCCCACATGAGAAATGCTACTGATGCTTTATATGAAACAATTCAGTATAAGAGTTGTTTTATGGGAGCAAAGGAAGGTGTTCCCTGCTTAAGTCTCTAAGCAAAAGGCGATATGTTTTGAGTATTTTGGCTTCAATCAGAGGCAAAGGAAACAAAGATAATTATATTACTCCATGACTGAGCCTGATCCATGATAGATCCATGGTGGAGAATCATTCCTCTTTGCCATTACAGTGTGAAGATCCCTTTGAGGAAAGTTCTTCGTAAGAGAAATGAAAGGTCTTAGATTAATACTTAAGATTGTCTTAACTTTCTGGCTGAAACTCATTAAAGACGAACTGAAGTCACAAGGAATAATTTTGAGACGTCAATGATTTGTTTCTTCATGCAACAAACGAG